CAAATCACTGATTATAGAATCTAGATGTTCACTGTAAAATTCTTTCAACTTTTCTGTAATGTTTGGACATTTTCTTTTTTTTTTTTTTAATTTTTTTTTTAATGTTTTATTTATTTCTAGGAGAGAGAGACAGCGTGAGCAGGGGAGGGTCAGAGAGAGAGGGAGTCACAGACTGAAACAGGCTCCAGGCTCCGAGCTGGCAGTCAGCACAGGGCCCGACGCGGGGCTCGAACCCACGAACCGCGAGATCATGACCTAAGCGAAAGTCGGACGCTTAACCGACTAAGCCACCCAGGCGCCCCTGTTTGGACATTTTCATAATAAAATTTTAAAGAAAAAGTACTTATATCATTATAATAAAAATACACGATTTCCTGTTTCTCTTCCAGTACTTAGTGTAGTGCTGTTAATATTTAGGATACTTACATGCAAAATGTAATGGTTTCACAGCTTTAAAAAATATTATCTTTGATTAATAATTTGTATGTGCCAGCTAACCACAGCTTATAATTTTATCTAATTCATCTAAATCTAAATATTATACTACATTTTTTACATCTCACAGTACCTTCACTTATGTTCATGTGTGCCTATATATGCCTATAGCAGCAAATGTTCTTATACTAATTTACAATGAGGTTAAGTGATATGCCAAAGCCAGCTCTAGAAAATCAGATCTTCTGACTTTTAATCCAGGGTATTCTCCATTATAAACCACACATTTGGAAAAGCCCTAGAAAAACTATCTAAAAAGTTACCCAGGTTTCACTAATGAAACTCATTTTATGACCTTTTTATTTACATTATTTCTGTGAATGGAATGGTTCTACAAGAGAATTTAGCTTTTGCTCCCCTTACATCTTATCTGACTTTCCAAAAGAAACAAATAAAAGTGGTTTTTAAGCACTGTGGGGTCTTTTAACAGAGATCCTTTGAAATTTAGTTTTAGACAGACACATAGACCAATGGAATAGAGAATTGGACCCACAAATGTATGGCCAACTAATCTTTGACAAAGCAGAAAAGTGTATCCATTGGGAAAAAAAAACCAGTCTCTTTAACAAATGGTGCTGAGAGAACTGAACAGCAACATGAAGAAGACTGAAACTGGATCACTTTTTTACACCACACACAAAATGGATGAAGGCTCTAAATGTGAGATAGGAAACCATCAAAATCCTAGTGGAGAAACCAGGCAACAACCTCTTTGACCTCAGCCGCAGCAACTTGTTACTCGACATATCTCCAAAGGTAAGGGAAATAAAAGCAAAAATGAACTATTGGGACCCCATCAAGATAAAAAGCTTCTCCACGGCAAAGGAAACAATTGACAAAACTAAAAGGCAACAGACAGAATGGGAAAAGATATTTCCAAATAACATATCGCATAAAGGATTAGTACTCAAAAGCTACAAAGAACTTGCCAAACTCAAAGCTCAAAAAACAAATAATCCAGTGAATAAATGGGCAGAAGACATGAATAGACACTTTTCCAAAGACATCCAGATGGCCAACACATTAAAACGAAAAATCAAATCAAATACAAATCAAAACGACATTGAGATCCACTTCACACCAGAGTGGCTAAAATTAAAAACAACTCAGGGGGTGCAGTTATGCATCTGACGTCAACTCAGGTCATGATCTCATGGTTCATGAGTTCCAGCCCCCTACCCCCGCATGAGCTCAGAGCCTGGAGCCTGCTTCGGATTCTGTATCTCCCTCTTTCTCTGCCCCTCTGCTGCTCATATTCTCTGTGTGTGTCTCTCTCTCAAAAATAAATAAACATTAAAATTAACAACTCAGGAAAACAGATGTTGGCAAGGATATGGAGAAACAGGGACCGCTCTTGCACTGCTGGTGGGAATGCAAACTGGTGCAGCCACTTTGGAAAAGTGTGGACGCTCCTCAAAAAATTAAAAATAAAATTACCCTACTACCCAGCAATAGCACTACTAGGAATTCATCCAAAGGATACAGGAGTGCTGATGCATAGGGGCACATGTACCCCAATGTTTATAGCAGCATTATTGACAATAGCCAAATTATGGAAAGAGCCCAAATGTCCATCAACGGATAAATGGATAAAGGAGACGTGGTTTGTATATACAATGGGATACTATTTGGCAATGAGAAAGAATGAACTCTTGCCATTTGCAACAACATAAATGGAAATGGAGGGTATTATGCTAAGTGAAATAAGCAACGCAGAGAAAGACAGATATATTTTTCACTCATATGTGGAATTTGAGAAACTTAACAGAAAACCATAGGGGAAGGGAAGGGGAAAAAATAGTTTCAAACAGAGAGGGAGGCAAACCATAAGAGACTCTTAAATACAGAGAACAAACTGAGGGTTGGTGGGGGGAGGGGGGAGAGGGAAAAATGGGTGATGGGCATTGAGGAGGGGACTTGTTGGGATGAGCAGAGCGTTGTGTACATAAGTGATGATTCATAGGAATCTACTTCTGATGCCAAGAGCACACTGTATACACTGTATGTTTGCTAACTTGAAAGAAATTATTGTTTTAGAGATTCAAATAATTATCCAGATGGAAGCAGTTTTAAATGTCACTTAACAAAATCTTATTTTACAGATTCAAAAGTTAATTCCTAAGTGGTTAAGCAATTAGCTCAAGGTCCCAAAACTGTTAATGGCAGAAGCAGTATTAGAATCCACAACATCTAACTCCCTAACCAGTGCTCATTCTAGTAAACTTTAAGGCTATCATTGCTCAGTTATCTGAGCTCATTAATTCATAGTACTAATTAATGTGAGAGATCAAGGTCACAAATGGGCCTGTTAATCTTAAATATTCTTATACTTAATAATCTAACGACCCTTTTCTATCTTATTTAAGATTTTTTTTACAACTATCTGTATTTGTCCTGCACTTTGATCACATTTGAAGTTGGCTGCTGTTGTGCTGATCTATTCTAAGGAGGAGCTGAAGTGAAGAGGGCACAAGGAAAGTGGAAGGACCCCACATAAACTTCTTTGGCCAAATAATGTTTGTCAAATAATTCAGTCAGTTGAAGTTATCCTCGAGAATACCACTTCCTACAAAATGGCTCTTAGCACAACACTTCCTCCAGATAGGTCAGTGATACATAAAATTATTTTTCATTACCTTTAAAGATACATTTGTAAGGTCATGATTTTTTAATTCAACTCTTTATCTAGACACAAGCGTGTTTCTGCCTACAATAAAATATAACTTCATACTAACTTAGTTGAAATCCAGACCGCTTTTTTTAAATTCGTGGGTTGGTATTAGCCCTAAAATACACTTTCGTTAAGTGTTACATTTCCTCTAATGGTTAGGAAGGCAGAGCACCACAGCAGGACTAAAATTAATCGCCTCTTCAAGGCTCCAAACGTTCTCCCCATCAAAACAGTAAAACTTGTACCAAGTTCTTTGTTTTGTTTTATCAAGTAAATAAGTTCTCCTTCACTTTCTTCTCTCCTACAAATGGTCAACTTTTTTTTTTTTTACGAGTGGGACGGCGGAGGCTAGGAACTGAGTTCAGGGGATGGCTTCAAAGGTTGTTATAATCCCTACCACCCGGCCCAAGGTTGGTTTTACCACCTCGGAACCACTCGGAGTTTCCCAGGACGGTTACTCAAGGCCTGGGTACCGTAGGGAGAACCATGACCCCCACGGAGCTGCCTCGCTCTCCATGGCCAAGCTCGCGCCCCCATGACCTCCAATGGTTGGAAAAGGGAGCCTTGAACTGCCCGCTTCTTCCACAACTGATCCGCACTCCCTCCCAGGCTATATCAGGGAACAGGATTCGAGGACAATTGGGGGGTAACACCTGCCACATTAGGAAAACCCCATCACCTGGAACTCGGCGAACTCCTCACAGTTCACACCACCACTGGGCGCCGCCATATTGGACAAACGCGAGGCCCCCGCCGGGAGCCAATCACCACGGAGCAAAGGTGTCCGCGTCGCCGCCTAACAAAATTTATTCCGAAGAACATCAGCGACAAACCTAAGGCAAGGTTTGTCTGTTCCCTAGTACTCATCTGCATCGAAACCTGTAACCCTGCCATCCTTTTCGCTCCTACACCTTTAACACGGCCTCCTGGAACTGGCCTAGTTGTATCAGAGAGTATCAGAACTTGAAGGGATAGCTTTACTCCAATCCCGTTTTTTCCCCTTGGTGGCACCAACCTGGTCCTTTGAAGAGGTAACCTAGAGTAGAGTGAGTTTTTCTTAACCCTCCCACTTCATTATTTACCTCCCGTCCTTTAGCACGAAAGCCTTTGTTCGTTAGGAATTTGGGACTGCTAAGAAATGTTTTTTTAAAAAGACATTACTGGGGGTCCCTGGGTGGCTCAATGGGTTGAGCATCCACTTTCGGCCCAGGTCATGATCTCACGGCTGATGGGGCCCCGCATCGGAGTCTCCATTTCTCTCAAAAATAAAAGTAAAACAAACAAAAAAACCTGGCAGTGTGGAGTAAGGGTTGTGTAAAGTGTTCAGATGTGGAAATGCCTGGTTTTATAAAAATAGGCAAATTGAAGAAATAGGACACATACTTGTGAATTTCTCACGTAAGCTGAAAAATACGCTCCCAGTCACTAAGACATGTAGTGGAGCTTAATTTATATTTTTGATAAAGGCAATATATTTATTTTAAAAAGCTGAAAAAACAGTATTGAAATACTAGGTTTATCTAGGCAGTGTGATTTCGGGGTCTGCAGTTCACAGCACTTCTGCAGTGATCACATTTCTTCTGTTTCAAAGGGTTGCTTTCTTAGACACAGAGAATGATCGTTGCAAAACGCCACTAATACCCAAACCCCACAAAAGCCTTTTTAAAGACGCGCCCAGGACGCTGCACCGTGCTGGGAGGAACCCAGCGCTCAGCCCGCAGTCTGCGCGTCACGCACGTCCCACACGCTCCATGCGTCACGCAGGCCCTGCCCACACGCCCTGCGCGTCACGCACCACCCGCTGGGTCCGCCCTCAAATCCCACATGTCCGTTCTGCCACTGCCGCCCGCCCCTTTTTCCCGTTGCGGAGTTTGGTGACATTGAACGGGTCCGCGTTGTCACCGCCCGCGAGGCGCAGTCGGGTCGGCGGAGTAGGCGGCCATGGGGAGCCTGCGCGGCCTGCGCTGGGCGGCGGGTGAGACGCGGGTTGGGCTGGGGGTGGTTGGTAAGGCAGCGTGGCTGCTGGTGATTGTGGAACCCTGCAGCTCCCCCAGGCCTGGTTATTGCTTGGCTTCATCACGCACTCCCAATTCCTCAGAATCCTACCCCAGTGATGGGAGAGAGTAAAGGCTGAGATGAGAGTGCAACTGCTGAGCAGATAGTCGAGGTTGGCCCAGAGTGACCCTGGCGCCTGGCCATCCGTCCACCAGCTCCCACTAACTTAAGGAGCCCTTGCTCCCCGTTCTTTATCGCCCCGCCCCCATCCCGACTCATCTGAGCTCAGTTCTTAATGCACCTGCCATTTCTGGAGCCCCCCCCCCTCCCATTTGCCTGGTTGATTCAGCTTCCCATAACCTCTCCCGTCCATGTCTGTTTTTGAGACTCCCCAGCCTCCCGCCGTCTCAAAAGTTTATCTCTGCTCTCAGAGAAAACCGAGTCTGAGGTTCCCTACCTACTTAGTGTCTGATTAGAAAAGGAATTTAAGGTTTTGCAGAATAATAGTAAATGTTTTCCTAAAATGGGAGATAGTTTCTCTTAAACCATCTTACAGTGAAGTACTTTGAATTTCTTGGAGGAAAAGTGTTACGTAGAATCTGCAGTTTATTTTTCTAATAGACATTTGTGTAATGGGTGTTTGGAGTCAGCGCTTAATTTGTCTCCTTGGGAAACTTCCAAAGCCTTTGCTTAGTAGGGGCTGAGAAATCAGAATGTTTGCCTCTTGACTCTTTTCCAAGCACCAGGGCAAATCTCTTTTGGTCACTTTAATGAGCTTTAGTGAGGCGTAATGATTGATTTTTTTTTAAATTCTTCGGTAACAAATTACTAAAAAGTTATCTACTTCAAATTTTAAAGAAGAATCACCCCAAACTTGCCTAGTGAAAAAATGTGCATTACAAATGTAAATGAAGAAACGTGAAAAAAAAATCTTTTGTATGGCTTATTTTGTATTCCAATGGAGAATGGATTGGAAAACATGTCTCAAACTGGAGAATATTATCTGCTTCTTTTAAAATTAACACTCCCTCCACTAAGAGATTGATTTCCTTGATTTGTTCAGCTTCGTTCAACTAATTTATGTAAAATGTTTTGTGTACAACCTGTTGACCTGTTAACTCTTACAAGGTAAGTGAAAGAATCATTATTCTGTTAAAAAAAAAAAAACAAACCACTAAAATAGAGTGAGTGAACGAGACTTTGATTACATATGAACCAAGACCAAGGGTTTATAAGTACTTTATCTTCCTGCCTTGGAAATATATTAATGCATTATAAAGATTCAAAAGCCTCTCTGCAGACTTTTGATATATAAGAACTTCAGTATTGGGCATTCAGTCAAAACAAAATTCCTTGAGCTAAAAATTTAAGAACAATTTACTTTATTCCAGATAGATCCACTAAGAATGTTACATGAAGAATGCTTTCCAGAGGGTCTTCTTTGAATGTCTGATGTTTTGTGAGCAGCTCTAAGCAATCTGCCCTTTCACCCACTTATGTCCATTTTATAGCTAAGTACTCTGACATACATGATTTTACTTGATTGATTTCTTATAGTATCTTTCTTAGGTAAGTCTTATCATCCATTCTCCAATGTGCAAGTGAATAAGCATAGGTCAGATGGTTAAATGAGTTGTCCAAGATCATTTAGCCATAAAGTGTTAGAACTGGGAGATGAGTAAGTGCCTTCTAATTCAGGAACTTGTGCTCTTTGCTTTATTCAAGCTGCTTATTCAGGATATGTGTGGGTTGTATACGTGTTTGTCATGGCTAATTGGACCTCTCTCTTTTTTTAATGTTTGTTTATTTTGAGAGAGAGAAAGGGCAAGCAGGGGAGAGGCAGAGAGGGGGAGAGAAAGAATCCCAAACTGGCTCTGCACTCAGCATGGGGCCCCAACATGGGGCTTGCTCTCACGACCAGGAGATCATGACCTGAGCTGAAATCAAGAGTCAGATGCTTGACTGACTGAGCCATCCAGGCACTCCTACTTGGGTCTCTTTAATATGAAATGGAAGTGTCATGAAATGCAGATTTACTTGGGAAATGGAAGCACACATTCATGTGCAAATGGTTTTCAGGAAAAAGACTGATTTATCAGGCAACCTGAACCAAAGGAATGACAGATCAAATAGAAACATAACCTAGGCATGCTTCACTTATTCAGAATATTATTTGGAATAAGATACTCTAGGTCAGTGAAATTTCAAATGGCCAAAACTTAATCCTTTAAATGATAGACCTTTATTTTTAAATGTTTCTGTTGGAAATCGTTGCTGTACTTTCTTAGCAAACAGAATATAGGATTTTATGAGCTTGAATTTGTTTATCGTTTTGTAGATGTAGCTGTAGATACAGGTCAGAGTTGTTAACTTGTGGTTCTTGGACCCCTTCTCAATGAGATGTCTTGTGAACCTCTGAAATTATATTCATATTTGTATGACTGTATACTTATTTGGGGAAGAGAGGATCCATATCTTGCATCCATTCCATTTTTTTTAAATTTTTTAATGTTTTTTATTTATTTCTGAGAGAGAGAGAGCAGGGGAAGGTCAGAGAGAGGAGGAGACACAGAATCCGAAGCAGGCTGCAGGCTCTGAGCTAGCTGTCAGCACAGAGCCTGATGCAGGGCTCGAACCCATGAGCTGTGAGATCATGACCTGAGCCGAAGTCAGACGCTCAACCGGCTGAGCCACTCAGGCGCCCCATCTTGCGTCCATTCCTTAGAGCAGTCTGTGCTCTTTAAGTTAAAAGGCACTGATACAGTGATTTGGAATTAAATGGCTACTGACCCATACTCCTGTAGATTTCATGAGGGCGAAGACTAAAGTGTTTTTACTAAATCCTCAGCATTTATCAGTGTCCAGCTCTTAGTAGACAAAATATTTTGTTGTCCTAAACTTCTTTGACTTTTCAACAGATTTTAAAATGATTTTATTATTATCATTGTTACACCAATACAGTGGACCATGGACAGCCTCCATGTCACTTTAACTGACAATCTGCAGCATTAGAATCAAGAGATAACTTAGAGGTCATGCAGCCTAGCCCCCTAATTTTACAGATGAGGAAACTTAAGCCTCAGAAGGGAATTGAGTTGGTCTCAGAAGAGTCATACAGATACAAAACTGGGACACAACCAATATCTCCTGGCTCCTATTTCTGATTTCATTTCCACCACATTCTGCTCCTTCATTGTTCTTTTTGTTTGTTTTCGCTAACCAACCATAAAGGAATACATGCCCATTTTTAGTATTCTTTGGCTTTGCTTATCACACCCTCTGGTGCCTGCCAACAGGGTTTTATTGAGCACACATTGTGTGCCCTGTACCCTATGAAAGCTCTAAAGTAAGTGGACTCCCGCTCTTTGTCGGGCTGCAGTTTATTGCAGTGAACAAATATACCTGTATAATACATCTGGAAAGCTTATGCAGAACAGTATATATTAAGTTCTAGATTGCAGAACAGATTTTAAGTGCTGCCATGGTATCATGGAGCCAGTTCCTATTGGCTTTGGACACACCTCTTCCGAATTTCACAATTAGTCATGTTTCATTGGTAACTTGAAATCTGTGGTGAGGGTTATTGGCAAACACTACAAATCAGGGATTTTCCCCACGACCCAGCATATCACTGGCTTTAAGAAAGGAGTAGAGGGGCCTCTGGGTGGCTCAGTCGGTTGAGCGTCTGACTTCAGCTCAGGTCATGATCTCGCAGTTTGTGGGTTCGAGCCCCGCGTCAGGCTCTGTGCTAACAGCTCAGAGCCTAGAGCCTGCTTCAGGTTCTGTGTCTACCTCTCCTGCTTGTGTTCTCTCTCTCTTTCTAACTGTCTCTCTCAAAAATAAATAAAGACTAAAAAAAATCTAAAAAAAAAGAAAGGAATAGAAGTATAGGTTAAGATTATCTACTGAAGGCTCCATTGAAACCGAAGGCATGGGAGACAGACAAGAGCAAAGGTAGGAGCAGTAATGAGTCTGGAGAGGATGTGGGAAGAGAAAAGGTAATAAGGAGAGAGGATTACTTTGGATTTCAGTCAGGAGGTATTGAGAAGGTGTGACCCTTGAGTGTTTTGGACTATATCCATTTGGACAAAAAGGAAACCTTTATGCAGAAATTTTCAAACATTTTTGGAAAAGTAACATGGCTGCTGCATACATGAATAGCTCCTACCTGTGAAGATATTATAGAAATCTATGTGTGAGGTGATGATGGAAATGATAAATATATATAAATATATAAGATATAAAATATATTTATATATATAGGAAGTGTTTTGAAGAAATTAGTGTGGCTCTGTGAGGCAGGATAATTTAAGGAAGACTGAAGTTTTGTGGGAGTTTTTTAAAATAATTTTTTTAATGTTTGTTTGAGAGAAGGGGGGACAAAAAATCCCAAGCAGCCTCCATGCTAATAGCAGCAAGCCTGATGCAGGGCTCGAACTCACAAATGGTGAGATCATGGCCTGAGCTGAAATCATTTGCTCAATCGTCTGAGCCACCAAGGCACCCCAAAACTGAAGTTTTTGAGTGTGGAGGACTGTAGGAGAGTTGCCCCATTGTCAGAAATAAGAAAGTTAAGAAGGGATACTGCTGTGGCATAGAGGGTCCTGCATTATTGAGTGGTAGGTGACATTGAGTTAATAGGTAAATGTGGGATCTCCCAGTCAAAGACTAGGGGACAAAGGAGGGAGTCCTTCCTGAAACAGACAAATGCAGGAGAGAGGCAAAGACTGAGGGGCGCCTGGGTGGCTTAGTCTGTTAAGCGTCCGACTTTGGCTTGGGTCATGATCTCGCGGTTCGTGGGTTCGAGCCCCGCTTCGGGCTCTGTGCTGACTGCCAGCTCAGAGCCTGGAGCCTGTTTCAGTCTGTGACTCCCTGTCTCTCTGACCCTCCCCTTTTCACGCTGTCTCTCTCTCTCTCCTAGAAAAAAATAAAACATTAAAAAAAAAAAAAAAAAAGACTGAATCTTGGAGGCCTGACATA